AGAGGTGGTGGGGGGGGGGGGGGGAAATCATGTTGGATTTCAACTGCAGGAGAAAAACAGGGTGGTAACTGGAATAACTAGGTCTCAAGGTCTGGAAACTGTCCTTTGCCATTTGGAGTGTATTTATATTCCTTCAAAGCACTCGTCGGTCCCCGTGTGTGTTTTGGGTCCTGTCCAGGTCTGGACAGAACGTTCCCAGCTTCGGACCCGTGCAACTCCGCAAGCCCGGCATGGCCGGGAGCTTCGGTTGGGCTTGAAAATCGTCTCCAGGCTACCAAAGCGGGTCTCCTGGGGTCCGGGTCGCTCTCACTCGGATCTTTCCCCGAGAGGATCGGGTCTGGGAAGGAGCCACCATGAGGCGGCGAGCGCGGTGGAGCTCAGGTTTGGTGACGGTGACGTATCCGGGCAAACGCAGGTACCTGAAGGAGAAGACTTTGCAGAGGCAAGCCTTGCTTAACCGGCAAGCCTTCCTCCCGTCCCTCTTAAACCACTGGAAAGCGGCGCTTTCGACTAAAAGCCCGGTCAGCTGGGAGAAGCTGGTTCGGGTATTAAGTACGCTCCTGAGCGCTGATGGATTTACTGTCACAAGTTTCGCGTTTCTTGCGTTAAAAGACTCCAACAAACAGGAAACGGAGCGTACACAGGAAAAACCGTGCGTGACCGTTGCGCATCGAGTTTTCGCAGTAAACGGGCTGCCATGTTTAGGGAGGAACCTCCTCCAGTCTTTCCCTTCGGCAGTCGTCGGAGCTGCTGGTGGCAGTAAGTTGAACACAGTTTTGGGGAGAAAGAGGTGATCAGAAGGACCGGAGCTCCTAAAAATGTATCTCCCTACCAGGCGTTAACACAAAGAAATCATTGTCTCGTTCCGCCGTGGGTTTCGGTGGAGGCAGCAGAGCTTTTTACGGGAACGTGAACCATTGAACTTGCTCAAAGGTAGAAATACCGTTTTCAGATAGCCTCCATACCTGGCAGTAGTGAGTTGGCGCGTCGCCCGTTTATCCCAAGAGGAGAATGCCAAGCCCAGATCCAGCAAGTCCGTCAGCGGGTCTCAGATCAAAGACATCATTTGACGCTGAACTTCCTTGCAAAGCTCTTCTGGTGGTTCATTGGCTGCATTATCTGCCAACAAGTTGTCTTATTTCTCACTGGGATTTTTCTAACTCTGTTTTTCAGCCGCTGGATCTTGTCCTCCCTTTCAAATAATTCATCTGCTTTAGATTGGAGATTTTCATGGGTTTTGCCCCATTGCTTTTTCATAATGCCATCGCTCGGCCTGGAACAAAGCCGGTTTCACAAAGGCATTATCTCTGCATTACTGACCAGTACATCTTCTTTCATATTGCCTTGGAGTGGAGAACTATTGACCCCTTTCTCAATAGCTTCTTCACTGCAGCCCCTTTGATATGCAAAGGAGTCGCTAATCAGTTCCATAATCGGTGCGATGTGTTTGCATTTTAATCAAGAAGTGTCCGTGTAGAAATAACCTTCGTGGAGCCTGCTTATTGCCTGTCCTGGGCTGCCTTTGCCGCTTTTCCCTGGTGCAAACAGGTCACCGCTCCGTTAACCGTAGGCTCCAAGGAAACTCCAGGAAAGCGAGACCTCGTTTTGCCGGCAGCCGGGGACCCTCGAGTTGCTGCTGTGGCCGAAACGGTCCAGCCGGGCCCGCAGCTCTGGCGTGGAAGCGGTGGCGCTGGCAAAGGCAGCAGGGCACGTCTCCCTCGTGCGGCAACAGAGCTGTTTATGGAGGAGTTTAATTTAGAACAACGTCTCGCCGTGCAAGCCGTAGCGTGAGAGCAAGACCCCGGCGTTAAAGGAGCCCTGCGGTCGAGCCGCTGTTGTTTCTGACAGCCGGGAACCCTCCTCTCCACCTGTTTGCGGGCTCTCGGGCGTCATCGCTGCTGCGAGAGCACGTGGTGAGCCTGCGAGTCCGTGCGGCCCTTCTGTCACCGTCCCTGAGATGAGGTGGGGAGAGGATGTGGCGCGCCCGTGCCCGGCGTCACACCGTTCCGCTCACGCTTTCCCCCGCACCAGAGGCAGGCGTCGGCTAACGCCAGTGTCTTGGTGAGAAACCATTTCTGCGTGGGGCTGCTCGCGCCCTGCGTGAAGAGGGGGCAACTCTCCGATTTCTCTCCAGCTGAGTGGAAGCCTTTGCCATTTGCTTCTCCAGTATTTTCATGCCTGCGCTCTTGTAACTTACCAGTCCCGACTTCGTGGCTCTTCCCGTCGCTTCATCCCTCGGGGTGCTTGCGTGCAAACGTCTGCTCCGGCTGTTCATTCTCAGCCAGAAGTTGCTCAGACGTTAAGTGACGAGAACGGAAGGTTTCCAGGCTGCTGCCCCGCAAGCCCAGGGTTCCCACGCGGACAGGAGCCGGTGGGTCTTGCACTGCGGAGCTGCTGGATGACGGGCTCTGGCTTCCCTGCGCTGGGGGCCGGGGACAGCTTGTCATCTCGGGGTGCAGCTCCGCTCTCAGAGCGAGGAGTTGACAACCCTGCCTGAAATTCAGCCTTTGCACGACTGCGTCTTGGCCTCGTCTCAAAGTGACATGAGTATTAGTATCGCTGAATAATCACGCATTTACTTTTTGGCTCTTCGAGCGGTGTCAGCAGGGTGTTTAAAACCCAAACCTGTGAATAAATGAGCGCTGATGAAGCGGTAGCTTCTCCAGCTGGCAGGAGGTTCGGAGCCTTGACGTGAGCCAAGAACGGCTGCTGCGTCGCTGGCTGTTTTTCTGTCCCTTCAGGTGTTTGGGTGGGGGGTCGAAGCAGCCTCTGCTGTATCTTGCCTTGGCGAGGATGTGCTCGAGTGTACTTGTTCTTCCAAGTTTGTGATGTCTGGCTTTTCTCTGTTTCAGAGACTAGAAAGGTGCGTGGGCATCGTGACTTCGCTAACCAACGGGCTGTCGGAGAGGGAAGCTAACGATGCCCTCAATGCTCATGTAAGTGTCATCTCCTTGAGAGATGAGAAATCCTGCCTGGATGAAATAATTCATGGTATATTGTACCTGCACGGATCTCTGTCTGAGGGAGCGGGCACGCAAGCTATTAGCAAGGCACAAAGAACAGGCAGATACGAAGAGGCTGGGGAACGGAGCCTGCTGTGCTCTCGCTGCTCCCAGCCTGTCAAGGATTCCCAGAGCTATTACGGTTAAAAGACAAAACAACATCGTGGCTTTAAGCCTTGTCTAATCACCTGTTTGGAAGCCGACCTGCAGTGCAATTTCTTGCTGAAATCTGGCTGAGCGTGTCTCTCTCCCGGCACATGAGTGCTCTGTACGTGTGCACGCAGGCAGGAGCCTGTCACTGTGCTTGTGCTGCTGGTGTTTGCGTTTCTCGTGTATTTTTGTACTCCTCCGCTGCTCAGATCAACTTTTTCCTGGCCTCCAAACAGCCAGACTCCAGACCGCTGAAAAGGGCAGGTTCAGCCTTTCTATTGAGGGATGGAGCATTTATTTCTAACTCTGCGTAGTCTTAAAATACTTGCCAGCAAGCTGCAGATGTTACCGTATAAGGAAAACCGTCGTGTGACACGTTAATGGGCTCTCAGACATGTTGGTTGCATTTTTTCCTCCCCAGAACACCTTGGGCTGTTGGAGTCAGTGGTGCAGAGTTGCCTTCCCTTAACGGGAAAAGGTCGGCAACCCAGGCTGGATTTCAGGGCTCTGAAGCTCATGAAACGCTTTCCCCCTTGGATGAGCAGGTTGTAGAAAAGTCTGTAAGAAGAGCCTGGGCCGGTCCCCAGCCGCAGGACGGGGCTCAGGGATCTGCTGCTGTTCTTGTCTGGGGGTTTGTTGCCCCTCAGTAACGAGATAACCCTGAAGTGGTCCAACTAAAACCACCGGAAAGTTCTGGGTGCCGAGAGGTTTGCGCCAGCATTAACTTTGCAACGGGGTACAAATGTTAGGGAGACCCTGTATGTTTTCTGTATTCCCTCGTGATCCCGCTTTGAATTCCTTGCGGGCTGCTGGGTGCTCCGCTGACCAGCCATTTGGTGGGCTCCAGAGGGGTTTCCTTCTTCTGTCGCTTTACTGACCTTCCTCTTAACATCCCCGTCTCACCTGCTCACCGATGGCGCTTGCGTTTTTCTCTCTCAGATATGTAAAGGAACCCCCCAGCATGAGGAGATCTGCCTGGGTCTTTTCACTCTGGTCTTGACCGAACCTGCTCAGGCACAGAAGGTAAGGCACGCCTGCGCCCGTCGGTGACTGCGGGAAGTTTGTCCACGAGAGATTTTTGCTTTCCGGGCAAGCCGGGTATTCGGAGGTGTGGAAGTTTTGGGATTCGTGCAGGCGTCGGAAGGCACCTGGC